GCTCTCTGCAGGATAGATTAAGAAGGGAGCGAGCGACGGTATGTTTTCGCTCACTTCCCGATCTATTGAGCCGACCTGTGACAGTTTCATTGTCACAGGTCGGCTAGAACTATGAGGCTGAGTGATTTTCACTCGCCTCATAGTTCTCCTTTAAATTGAAAATAGAGGTTATACAAGGTGTTGTAAGTCTGAAAATGATGGCCAGATGTTATTTTCAATCAATCTGAATGATCCAAATACATTCTGCTGGAGATCACACTATTCATGTACGTTGCCATCAATCATCTGCTTGAAAATTAAAATTTGTAATTTTTTATATTAGACAATTAAAAAATTATATGTCTAAACTCCCTTCCAGTTACACTAAACTCAGGAGTTGAATCTGAAAAATGCATTCAAGTACCCTAACTATTTATAAAAAGGTATCTTATTTATCAAATCATCTCTGAATTAGTGCTGACACTATTTTTCCTTCTGAAGGGTGGCTACTTTTGTTCCCCATGGTCCTTGTATGTGTTGTAAAGTAGCCACCGCTCTAAGCTCACTCCTGTGAGGGAAAACAATCTCATATTTAGTTTACTAATTTTTATTGAAGTTATAGTCTATCACTTCAGGCAAATCAAATCTTACCAGTTGTAGTGGAACCACCCCTGCACTGCAAGGGTTTAGTGCTTGTTTTGTCTTGGTAGCTAAAATAACAAAGTTATACTCACCCGAACTGCAATCCCGGCTGGTTCTGACACCGCTCCCTGTAGCCTGTCTCCTCCTCCGCACCAGCAATGGTCCCTCGGTGTTCTAAAGTTCTATACACTGTATTGGATGTGATCAGGGCTGGCCTTAGGCCTTTAGGCACCCTGTGCAAGAAAGCTTTACAGCGCCCCTCAGTGACCACACCCCTTTTCCCCATAAAGACTCCCATTTTGTTAAGCCCCAAAGAAACATTAAAAAGTATGATACAAATAAAACTTTTATTCAAAGGTATTAAACTCGTAGACACAATATAAGTATTCTTATGAAATAAAACAACAGAAGGCAAACAAGTGATAGACAATGATAGTCAAACTACAATAGAGTCTATCAAAATAAAGTGTCAGGTTGTCATGCCTCCCTTTCTTCAAGTGGGTGCATCTAGAAAAGTAAAAATAGAAAACAGAACACAAAACCTAGACTACGTGTTAAATTAATTAATTACTATTTGCCCAAATATACGAAAATATTTTGGGGAAATATTAGGGGTCTAAACAGACCCCTGATATTTACGTTTTAAAATAGAAAAGAAATTGAGGACACAAAGTCCTCAATTTCTTTTTCTGCATCCTCTGTTCTAAATGAATGGAGAGCACTCCATTCATACAGAGGCTTCCCATTCATAAAGACACTGATGATAGTAAAATATTTACTATCACCAGTTTATGAATGGGGAGGAGCCTCTGTAGTGAGTGCTACTCCCCATTCAAAAAATAATGAATGAACAGGAAGTGATGTAAATCACATCCTGTTCATTCATAACTGGGGGCACATAATACTATGTGTCCCCAGTTATTTACAAACACTGGAATGATCAGACGATCACTCCAGTGTTTGCTCTGCACAGAGGATCGGTAAATATCAATGATTCTTACAGATCCTCCACTTGGCCACGCACAGAGCCGCTGTCATCCTGAAACTGACAGGATAACAGCAGCGCCGCTTTACTCACCGTTCGTCCGCCCTGAAAGCTGCGGCTTCTCTCCTCCTCACCGCTCGGCCATCCAACATGACAGCGCTCCCTCCTGCCCCCCACAGGGAGGGAGCGCTATCATGTCGGATGGTCGATCGGTGGGGAGGAGAGAAGCTGCAGGCTGTAGCCGCCCCGGGGACGAGCTGTGCCGGCCGCCTGGCGCCCTTGTTGAAGGGAGCAGTATAAGGGCAAGCCGGGATCACAGTTTGGGTGAGTATAACTTTGTTAATTTAGCTCCCTAGACAAAACGTGCACTGAACCCTTGCAGTGTGGCTACGTTTTGATTTGCCCCAAATTCTGCTTTAAGGCGGTGGCAGCACAACCCTGTAAACAGACTCCCAGGTGCCTTTTATAGACATTTGTAAATTCGACTGTTGGCTTTTACTGCTCGGGACGCCCATTGTGGATGTCAGTGAGGAGAGTTGAGAATGATCAGCAAACATTCGTCTCTGATCAGTCTACCTATGTATCTCTAGAGAGAAATCTATAGCCACAGCAAATTACTATGTACATCCTAGGTGATCATCTTCTAATAGCACTTAGGGAGAGTTCTTGGTTTAGAGTTCTTGAATTATAGTTTCATATTGTTTTCTAAGGTAAAATAAGGAAATGAGATAAAGGAAAGGATGATGAAAAAATAGAGTGTAAAGGAGACAATAGGTCAGCAGCAATGTCATGCAGCCATTATTGATTATTTTCAGGGCAATATTACATAGTAAGATGACAGTTTATAGTGGCAAGGGAACAAAAAGCCCTCACTCATCTGTGTGTAGCACAGTAAAACCTTCTTAAACCAGAATCTTATTCCATAATATATTCCAAAAAACTAGAGAATTATTCCTCATTTGAAGATAGTGGGTGGAGCAATGCACATCATTGCTGAACACTACATTGGCAAGATTAAAACTATATCATATTGCTGCTATTATTATTATTACTATTATTATTATTTATGATTCCTAAAACACCAACATTTTGCACAGTGCTCTACAATACCATTTATTCTAGCCTTCATACAGCTGTCTCAGGCTATTTGGCCATCATCAGTGCAGTGTATGTAAACCATGGCCATAAGAAGGACTTGGGTCCCAATGAGACAACATAATCGTACAAGTTACTGTTAGCAGGGACATAAGCAGTCAAAAAGACCTCTCTCCAATCAGTGCATAGCACAGTACATCATTCTGAAAACAGAAGTTATTGACATGTCTCCTTCCATCAAATATCCCCAAAAATAGGAGGATTATTCCACATTTCAGAACAGCATAACCATACAGGTTATGGTGAGGGATGCACTAATACAGGTGAAGAAGCATGGAGTCGGCTTTCTGGCCAATCAGGAGGCCAAGGGGTAGGTAATGACTCGCCGCCTGGCTTCCTGATTGGCCAGCTTCCCCATCAATCAGGAAGTCGGGTGGTGAGTCATTACACCCCCCCGGCTTCCTGATTGGCCATAATAGAAGTCACCAACACTCGATGATATGTGCAAGAAGTATAAGCACTGTTTATTAAATTGTCACATGCGTCATACAGCCAACGTAACGTGGGCCGCGTAGGGTCCCTTCTTCCGGGCGACATAGTGACAACCACATGTATGCAACTTCGGCTTTTATACAGTGAGAACACACACAATACACCATAGAACCTCCCCATGATGTCACAATTACGTCAAATCCCACCATAATTTTAAAGCAAAATACCATGTAAATAAACAAAATAATGTGCAGCACGAAAGCCAATATACATAAATACAGGTGAAACTCGAATAATTAGAATATCGTGCAAAAGTAATTGCAGTAAGTGCTGCAAAAGGGGCCCAAACCAAGTACTGAGTACATATGCATGCTTGTACTTTTCAGAGGTCTGATATTGTTCTATGTACAATCCTTGTTTTATTGATTGCATGTAATAATCTACTTTTTTGAGGTTGTGGATTTGGGGTTCTTTGGGTTTTCATGAGCTGTAAGCCATAATCATCACAATTATGACAAATCACGGCTTGAATTATCTTGCTTTGCATGTAATGAGTCTATCTCATATATTAGTTTCACCTTTTAAGTTGCATTAGTAAAATAAATGAACTTTGCACGATATTCTAATTATTCGAGTTTCACCTGTAATGTTAGCTTCACTAGCCTCTTATACACTATAAATGCTTGATGGTGATAGAAGAAAAAAAGCAGGTTAAATCCGAAGTGTGACACAGAATGACTATCTGTGTCCGTGAAGTCCATGGCCGGGAACCTGGCTCCATGCTACTTCGTCACCAGGCGAAGAGCAAGCATGGAACCGGCTTTCTGGCCAATCAGGAAGCCAGGGGCCAGTAATGTTTCGCCGCCTGGCTTCCTAATTGGCCAGCTTCCTGACCAATGAGGAAAATGGACGGCGAGTCATTACACGCTGCCTAGCTTTCTGATTGGCCGGGCCTGAGCGACGAGGCAGCATGGAGCGGGCTTCCTGGACCAAGCAGGAAGCCAGGCAGTGTGTAATGACTCGCCGCCCAGCTTCCTGATACCGGAAGTTCCGATATTGGGATAGGCATCGGGAGCATTTGGGCGAGTATGAGTTATTGCCCAAATACTCGGTATTGGCACCAATAGTAGTTTCGATATCGGTGCATCCCTAGTTATGGAGAGAAGGAACTAAAGAACTCATAAAGTCCTCACCATAATCATTGCATAGCACAGAGCAGCTATTATTAGAATCAGAATGTATTGACATGTCTCCTTCCACCACATGAGATGGAGAAGTATTCTGTGCTAAGAAGGCTTTACTGTGTTACACAGTGACATAGAAGGCTGAGTGGCTGTGTCCCTGTGTGAGTGGAGAAGATGCACTGGGTTTTATCACTGTGATATCCTCAGCACTTGTTGCTTCTCTGTGCACTGACAGTGTAGAAGAGTAGACATGCCTTCCTTCCTTCCTTCCTTCCTCCCTCCACAATGAATTGCGATAGTGAATAGCCCCGTGTAATAGGTGTGGGAGGGTCAGTGTCCCCTCCTCCCTCACATCCCCCTCCCTCCCTCTCTGTACTCACGCCCTGCTAAAGGCTCGCACTCATGGTAAGACAAGGAGCCTTCATCCTGAATTACTAACTCGGGGTGCCAGGGAGCTCCTCGCCCCCCCTCCTCCTCCTCCTCCAGGACCACTGGATGCTACTTTCCCCTGACTTCCCATTCTCAGGAGGACTGGCTCTGGGTATCGCAATAATGTGGCTGCAGCAAGCTGTGTGCCTGTCACCTCTGTGGGTTTAATAGGAGATCAGGACTGGCATTTCCCTTGGATTGATCACCCTGCTACAATGTTTGGAGACTCGGTATTCTGTGAAAGGAGGCTGTGCTATGCTGTAAGTACTAAGCATTGACATAGAGATCTGAGCATTCATCCTCCAGTGCATGCGATCCCTCTTGTTAATTGATGGGGAATCTGTTTTCTGCATAAGGTTTGCGTCACACTGAAATGCCAGGCTAAGTTTGATTGATTGCCTTGTGATAGACAGCGGGCTGTGTGGCTTTATGGAAGGTGTTAGTGGTTTGTGCTATGTACTATAGAGCGTCGATTGCAGCCTGGGCTCAGCGCGATGTACATACAGAGTGATAGACGACATCTGGTGTGTCTAGTCCTTGATTTATAGCGATGTCTGCGCTCTACAATGCACGGGGGTGATATCAGACAGGGGCAATTCTTAGTTCTCTGCCTTGTGATTCTACTGTTACAGAGTTAAGTGAAGATGAGGCACATTGCAAGTGTCACTAGCATTGGGAAAGACTTAATTTTAGGGTTCAGTTGTTTAGATGGCAACCAGCAGGGAGCAAATGTTCTAGGTAAAAGTTCAACACCCTATGACATAATCAGACATCTGGATGTTTTCTCCTCTTCATAGAATATTCTGCATATGACACTATAGGCAATGTCAGCATCCTCTCAGAGCCAATATAGGTCAGTTGTATTACTGTGCTATTCATTATGATGCCATAAACATTGCACTGAGGCAGGCACTAAGGAGAAGACAGCATTGTCTGGGTGTTTACTTATACTTAGTGCCTTCAGGATAAGGGCATAGGTGCACATTGATCATGTCTGAGGACAGCATATTGTGCATAGTCTTCATTAGATATGCAAAGCTTTGGCTACTAAACTTTTTTTTTTTAAACGCTCATCTCTAAAAGAGAATTGTGCTGGTTATGTTACTGGTAAACTTGCTCATACACATTGCTGCATTTTGTTTTTAATAAGCTCATATCTAAAAAAAATTGTGCATGTTTTGTTGCTCATGTTCATACACATTGCTGCTTTTATTGTATTTGTTTTAATAAGCTTGCCTCTAAAAGAGAATTGTGCATGTTTTGTTATTTGTAAACTTGCTCATACACATTGCTACTTTTTTTTTTCTTGTTTTGCTTTTAAAGTTCATCTTTAAAAGAGAATTGTGCAGGTTTTGTTATTTGTAAACTTGCTCATACACATATCTGCTTTAAATGATGTTGACAAAATAACAACTTGTTGGCTGAGGTATAAAGGGTATACAACTGCAGCAGAATAAAGTATCTTGAATGTTATCTTTGGGGTTATCTATACATTTGCTGTACGTTGGAATGTTGCAGATAAAATCATTTTTTTTCTTGTAATCTAACCAGAAATAACGTGCCTGTGCCCATGCATTTGTTAAAAAAAAAACAAAAAAAACATGAAACAAACTATAGCTGACTTGCTTTATTTTGAAGTTGATTTCTGTGCCTGGACTATAGCAAACCACTTCCTTCTTTCACAATGCATACGCACAAGCATTTCCTTTTCGGAGAATAGAGTCAAATCAGCTGCTATGTATATCACAAAACCGCTTTAAGACCAACTCAAGGCAAACAGCTAAAGTAAACACATGGTTGAGATATATGTGTGTGTGTGTGTGTGTGTGTGTGTGTGTGTGTGTGTGTGTGTGTGTGTGTGTGTGTGTGTGTGTGTGTGTGTGTGTGTGTGTGTGTGTGTGTGTGTGTTATTTTATTTTTTATTACTGGTATGTATATAGTAGCTACAGTTTTACTCAGCACTTGTACATTCACATCAGTCCCTGCCCTGAACAAGCTTACAATCTAGAGTCCCTACTTCACATGCATGCATCCATACACATACTATGACCAATTTAGACAGGAGTCAATGAACCTACCGACATATCTTCGAGAACCCACACAAGCACAGGGAAAACATGCAAACTCCATGCAGGTTGGGATACGTTCCAAGGACCCTAGTGCTGCAAAGCAGGAGTGATAGCTACTAAGCTACAGTGCTTATCATTGTCTACCTTGTCAAAAAATATATAATTCTGTCCAGCCAGCCTGTAATTCATACACCCCAGCCATACTGCATAGCTACTAATGCAATATTACTATTCCCTAGTTATTTTTGCATCATCCTGTCACCTGCTTTGCTTATTGGTCAGTGTAATTATGTATTTCTGATGTGTATGTATATGTATACAGTATATGCCTAAATTTCCTTTTAATGATGGGGTTAATAAATATATTTGCATTGCTTCTCTCTGGATTGTAACATTAAGAGCTTTCTATGTAAATGCACATAATCAATAAGACAAACTGCATTCACCCCTACCAACTGCATTGATCTTTCATTGTTGTGACGCCTTTAAACTGCTGATAAGTGATATGTGATTGGATGTAATGAATAGCTGCACTCTGCAGATCATCACTGTGCATTGCTTCAGTACATAGGCATTGTTTATTGTAAATGAACTGAAGTTTTCTGAACGTTAGAACTTTGATCTGTGGTTCTTATTCAGTATGAAGCATTGGCATTTTCTATCAGCTGGTTAATCGTCTCCAGGAACATGTTCAGAAAAGCTGCTGTACCTACAATTGGCAAGTTGAGAATTACAAGGTAGTAATTGGTGCACATACTTCCACATGCCTAGAAAGAACATTCTTTCTACCCCAAGAAGAATTTTGCTTTCAGCAATGGCATTTAAGCATGCCCCACAGGCACTCACCCACTTCATTGCTTATGTACAAGCAGATCACAGCGATGTCTTCCAGGTACTGAGATTTTCTTTTGTTTTTTTGGATGGGATCCATAACAGATGCATGGTTTTATTTGGGGATTAGGGAGAACACTTGACAGCCAAATGTTGTTTTATAAACACCATCATTATGGCAGTAACATAGTATGTCAAACAGGAACATTCAACAGTATTGGATTATGGGGAATTGTGCATTTTACCACATATTACCACAATGCACAATATTGAGTGGAGCTCCCCCAACACACGTAGGCAGAGCATCACTCCACACACACACTAAATTTACCCCACCCGGCTGTGGTCTCAGTTGGGCTCTGCAGAGTCTGTGGTGGGCTCTACATGATTTGTGGTGGGCTCTACATGATCTGTGGTGGGCTCTTCAGGGGGGTTGTGCAGGATCTGTGGTGGGCTTTGCAGGCTGCAGAGCCCCCTATAGATCCTGCAAAGCCCCCTGAGACCCGGCAAAGCCCCCCAAAGACCCTCCAGAGACCCCCTGACACCCTGCAGTCTGCAGGATCTCAGGGGGGTTGTGCAGGATCTGTGGTGGGCTTTGCAGACTGCAGAGCCCCCTATGGATCCTTCAGAGCCCACCAAAGGATATTGCACAGCCCACCTGAGACTCTTTGGTGGGCTGTGCAGAATCTATGCTGGGCTCTGCCAGCACAGTCCTCTTAGCTTGCACGGCCTGACCTCTTTGGAACACCGCCTCCTCATCATTGGCGCCCGAACGGCCTCCTTGTAATCTTCGCCGCCCGACTGGAGCTCCGTCTTTGCCCCCGCCTCTTCCGTCTCAGGGGCCACTCGACAAATTTTTTCTCTCTTGGGGGCTGCTTGCCAAATTTCATACTTTAAAATAAAATATAACTATATCCGGTTTGGTACAACAGACACTAATATACACTCACAATAAGGCCCCTTTCATATCTGTAGGTTTAGGTGCAATTAGGGATTCCTGCATCAGAAACTTGCGTTTTACTGCACCAGGAATCCCTAATCTGGCATTTACAAGTGGCAGCTGTCACCTATTCAAGTTAATGATCAGGAGACAGCAGCTGCATGTAAATGCATGCACACCGCATGTAATGGTATGTGATATTATTACATGCGGTTAGAAAACACTCTGCCTGAATGCACAATCATTGCGTCCAGGGAGAGTGATTGATTCCTAACCGAATGTAATCATATCACGTATCATTACATGCGGTGTGCAGGCGTTTACATGCAACTGCTGTCACCTGATCATTAACTTAGGTGACAGCTGCCACTTGTAAACGCCAATTCAGGGATTTCTGCTGCAGGAAAACGCAAGTTCCTGACGCAGAAATCCCTAATTGCACCTAAA